GTGTGTGTGTGTGTGTGTGTGTGTGTGTGTGTGTGTGTGTGTGTGTGTATGGAGGGGTGTGCATGTGTTGTGTGAGTACTCAAAGAGGCCAGAAGGCATCAGATGTCCTGAAGCAGGGGTTATAGGTTGTTGAGAGCCATCCAGTATGGTTGCTGAGATCCTAACTCCAGTCCTCTGCAAGAACATCAACGGCCCTTAACTGCAGGGCCATCTCTCCAGCCCTATGAAACCACTCTTTTTTATTTATTTTTTAATATTTATTATGTATTGTGTATACAGTGTTCTGCCTGCATGTTTGCCTGCAGGCCAGAAGAGGGCGCCAGATCTCATTACGGATGGTTGTGAGCCACCATGTGGTTGCTGGGAATTGAACTCGGGACCTCTTAACCGCTGAGCCATCTCTCCCGCCCCCATGGAACCACTCTTAAATCAGACCTGGATGGGAAAGACTGGAGCCATATTCGTGTTCAATGCTGCCTCCTGCACTTGGCTTGGGCAGATATCAGCATCCAGGTCCAGCATGAGTCAGAACCTTTAACACATGTCTTCTAGGGCTGGCGCTATGGCTCCGTCTGTAAACTGCTTGCTGTGTGTGCCTGAGGACCCAGTCGGATCTCCAGCACCCATGTAAAAGCTGTACACAGCAATGTGCCTGAAATTCCATCGCTGGAGAGGCCAGAGAGGCCGAGACGGGGATAGCTGGGGCTCACTGGGCAGAATCAATGAGCTCCAGGTTCAGTGACAGACCCTGGCTCAGAAAATAAGGTGGAGAGAACTTAGGAAAGACCCCTCAACATCAACCTCTGGCTTCCACACACATGCCATGTCATCTAGATTCTGAGAGGATGTGAGAGGAAGCATGAACCAATTGTCTCTCAGAGTCTGGCAAGTTTTGCTCAACATGAAGTTCTGCCCCCCCTCCCATTTATTTCCTGAAAAATGACATGATTTCATTAATCTTTGTGGCTCAATAAAACTCCCTATGTATACATGCACATCTTCATTCACTCATCTGCTGGTGGGCATCTAGGCAGACTCCAGAACAAGCCTAATATTGTTTCCATTTAGAATCAACAGGGTCACCCCCTCCAAGGGTCAGGGGACACCCCGGAGGAGGAGACAGAAAAGAAGGAAAAGCTGGAGGAAGTGGGGGTGTTCCAGAAGGCTGTCTTGTGGGCGTGGCGCGGCATCTGGACTCAGCAGCAGTCAGGTGTGATTGCCTGAAGAGACCTACTCAGACCCCACCCTGGGGGCGGGCACTCAGGAGGCTCCGCCCCTCCCTAAAGACCTATAGGCAGTGGACGGTTGCTGGGGGAAGGAGACACATTTTCTACAGTGTTGTGGCCTCTGGTGAGTTGCCTGTGCTCCTGTAAATATCCCTACACGCTCTTGTAAGCAACCTTGATGAGAACTCCTCGGACCCCGAAATCAGCAAACAAATAAATACATAAAGGTGCGGGACGGAAAGATGGCTGGGGCTTGTAGGCTTCTGGTCCAACCAAGAACACATGAGATGAACTTCACATTCATGGAGAGACCCTGCCTCAAAAAAGCAGGTGGAGAGGGCTGGAGAGATGGCTGAGCAGGTAAGAGCACTGGCTGCTCTTGCAGAGGACCCAAGTTCAATTCCCAGCACCCACATGTCCTCTCACAAATGTCCAGACCTCCAGTTCCAGAGGATCTGATGCCCTTTCCTGGGCACCGAGTATGCACATGATGTACAGACATACATTCAAGCAAAACACTCATGCACATAAAATGAAATCTGAAAAAAGAAAAGTTTTAAGGAGCAGGCAGAGTGGTAGAGGCGGTGGGGGGAGAGGGGGCTTTAGCTCAATGGTAGAGCACTTGCCTAGCAAGCACAAGGCCCTGGATTCGGTCTTCAGCTCCAGAAAAAAAAAAGAGAGAGTGTGTGTGTGGTAGAGGATGCCCAGGGCCCTCTTTAGACCTCCAAACTCACACACAGCAATGCACCCCGCATACATATACATACATACATACAGAGAGAGAGTGTGTGACAAACAGCTGAATAAACATTTGTGCATTTAAGTATATGGGAAAATCACTTCATTTATGAAAGAAGATGTTTACTGAAATGCTATGCAAAAGACTGGAAACAACTCAAATATCCTATAATAGGAGTTTAGTTACAAATGATGTGTGTTCCCATAACCGCTAAAAATGGTATTATAGAAGGTTGTCTGCCCACAAGACGGCATGTCCTTGACATTCATGAATGATTGGCCCATAAGCACAAAAGAGGTCTCGAGTTTTGTTGTTGTTACCACTTTTTGGTTCTGTTTGGATTTTTTGCCAAAGAGAGACTCGAGGCTGCTTTGAAAGACGTCATTCTAGGTGTTTCTGCACCTCAACACTGAGCATAGATAGGTGCCTTTTGACTTATAATAGGACAGTGCCCAAATATAGTCACCATAAATTATCAAAAATACACTCGAGGGGCACAGTAAATCCCTGATCTGAATGCCACTAAGCTGGGTGGGCTGGTTGCACTGGTGATCTCCACACTGGGGAGCTGGAGACAGGGGGATTCCTCTGGCTCAACTGCCCAACCAACCAGCATACCTTAATCAGTGAGCCCCAGGCCCCAGTGAGAAACCTTGTCTCAAAATAATGAGCTAGATGGCTCCAGTGTTGACCTCTGACCTTCACAAATGCACAAGGCCTTGTGTACCTACATATGTATGTACATATTCTTTCGTGTATATGATATGTATAATTATATGTAGTATTCATTATAGATAATATATAATATGTACATTCTTTTTGTGTATATTATCTATAATATATTTCTAGCCCCATGTGTTGTGGGATATTTGTACACTGTGTGAAAATGTGTTGCTGTGACTGGTGTAATAAAAAGCTGAATGGTCAATAGCTAGACAGGAGGTTTAGGAGGGACTTTGGGGCAGAGAGAGAACTCTGGGGAGAGGAAGGCGGAGTCACCAGCCAGAAGAAGCAGGATGAGCAGTATGGGGAGATGAGGTAACAAGGCACGTGACAGAACATAGACTAAATTAAATGGGTTAATTTCAGTTATAAGAGCTAGTGGGGCCGGGTGGCGGCGGTGCACGCCTTTAATCCCAGCACTCGGGAGGCAGAGCCAGGCGGATCTCTGTGAGTTCGAGGCCAGCCTGGGCTACCAAGTGAGTTCCAGGAAAAAGGCGCAAAGCTACACAGAGAAACCCTGTCTCGAAAAACCCAAAAAAAAAAAAAAAAAAAAAAAAGAGGTAGTGGGACAAGCCTAAGCTAAGACCGAGCTTTCATAATTAACAATAAGTCTCTGTGTCGTTATTTGGGAGCTGGTGGTACAGAGAAAGAGTCATTACACCCGTGGGCACCAAAGCCAGGCTGTGCCAGGGTCCCAGGGCTTTGGGAAGGAATGACTGAGCCTGGCCTGTCTATGCATCCTTGCCCTGACACTGAGGGAAGCCAGGCACCACTTGGTACCCTGGCATCTGCCTGACTGTACCCCAATTAATTAAACTTAATCTGTATTTGTTTGGCCACAAATAGCTAGTAGTACCTGCCCCAGTTCTGAATGTGTTGGAGTCAGAATGAGAAGAAATGGGCTATGGCTCATGAGGCTCCCCCCATTCCCCATCCAACCAAGGTAAATAGGAACCCAAGTCAGGCCCCACAAGCATGGTGGACCTCTTCACCCGAACACTGGGCTCAGGGGTTGTTAGGACACTAAAGACCTGCATTCTCAAAGTCCACAGAAAAGGGACCAGCCGGCCCAGGGCAGTTTCGGGCGAGGACAGAAACACCCAGAGCCCTACAGCCTAGATGACTAGGGCCCCATTCCATACTTACCCTCATCACAGTTGCTCCCAGTAAATCCCGGGCAACACCTCCACTCCAGCGCAGTCACGGTGCGGTAGGAGACCCGGTAGGTCGGTCTGATGAGAGTCCTGTAACTAACACAAGGACGAGGTCAGTGGGGCATGCACTCCTGCCCACCCGCCCCAGACTGCCTGCTGGGGGTACTGTGCATGCTTCGAGTTCAGGAAGCCACCAGCACAGTGGACCTGTCACCTCAGCTTTGTGCTCACTGCCTCTGTGGTTCCAGACAAATCGCCAACCCTGCAAACCCAGGCAGGGATCAGAGACTCTTCCAAACTACTCTGCTTTCTCTTACCCCCTCATTAGAGGATGCTTGGCAGGTGCTCTAACACCTTGAGATGTGACCTGACCCCAGCATCTCACTGGGGAATTCTAGGCAGGTGCTCTACCACTGAGCCACACCCCAGCCCCTCACTGGGGGATTCTAGACAGGGGCTCTACCATTGAACCACACTTCCAGCCCCTCACTGGGGGATTCTAGGCAGGTGCTCTACCACTGAGCCACACCC